TATTTTTTATATTGCAAACATTTGCACTGTTATCAGTATTTGCACACTATTTTATATTATTTTTTGACAATCTTTAAAGTCATTATTCAATACATTGTTATTGTTAAATAAATATCGTCAAATAATCGAGATCTCAATTTCAGTGAAAATAATCGTGATTATCATTTTTGCCATAATCGAGCAGCCCTAATTACTATGATACTCTTTTACAATTCTGATTGTAAACGTTCGTAAACTGGAACAGTAGTTTTCCAAAACAGCCATAATTCTTCAAGTTACCTGGATATGTTGTCAAGTCCGGACCTTTGCCAAGGTCTGGAACAAGACCCAAACTATCACCCTCAAATGAGAGGATGTTTGTTAGAATGTTCAGGAACAAGCCAGGAACCACTAAAGCTCAAGCCTGCCATGATCTATTGGAACATCAACATCTCTGTCCACAGTAAAGGGAGTTTTATATCACCCTAGACGAAGAACCTATGTTTCAAAACCAACCAACCAGCTTAAGTTTGCAGCTGCCAACAATGACGAGCCAAATGCCTTCTGGAGAAAGGTTTTATGTCAGATGACAGAAAGATTGAGCTATTTTTCCACAATGACAAGACTTAAGCTTGGAGGAGTAAGGCTTTCAAACCTAAGAACACTATAACAGCTGTTAAGCATGGTGTTGGCTGTAGCATGGTCTGAGGCTGTTTTGCTGCCAGAGATACTGGTACATTGCACAAAGTGGATGAAATAACAGCGCATGAGGACCATTTCCAAAATCTTCAACTTCACTTAAAATTAACAGCTAGACAGTTAAAACTTGGACATAGTTGGGTGTACCAGCAGGACAATGATCCCAAAAATATATCAAGACTGATTTTCAAATGGATAAACCAGGCTACCATCAAGTTTCTGGAATTGCCCTCCCAAAGCACAAATTAAAATTTGTGAACTATGATGCTTAAAAGCCTGGTCTGTACCAAGAAAACAACCAATTTAAATTAACTCTACCAATTCTGCCATTAACGGTGGCCAAATACCCAGACAGAATTGTGCCTGAACTTGTAAAGAGACATTTAAATAAGTATTAGAGGGTTTGTATGTATATATTTGCACCTCTACGTTTAATTTTGACACAGTGTGCATTTGAGAAAATCCTAAATAAATTCAAACCTGTGCAACCAATTCTTGTTTCTTAAAGGCATTAAAGATGTAGGCTGCACAATCATTCTACCCCGGAAAAATAACACCTCAAAGAAATCAATGAAAAACCTAAAATTGCCATGACTTTCATGCCAATGATAAGCGTATGCAAACTTCTGCCCACAACTGTATATGTATTGGCATGTAAATGCTCCATTTACTTGGTGTAAAACAGAGCCCCTGCAGCCACGGTTGAATAACAACTGTTTGCATGCTGTAGCTGACTTATTTATAGAAGATCCCACTCTAGTTTTAAAGCGCAGGCACCTCCTGTTTGAATCTTACATTACATATGCCTTTGCTCAAAGGCCATGTTTCAAGCCAGGAAAGAGAGGCTTACCTGCACTGCTCTGTAGGTGGTAATGAAAGGCAGCATAATGTGATATCCAGGACCATTGGGACTAGTCAGCAATGCCCCACCTCTGAAACAAATACAAATTATTTGGCCAGAGTTCACAACATCTGATTTTCTTTTGATTATATTTAATGAGGGTGGAAAAAAAGGAAGAGGACATATAACTTTATAACCATCATTTGCAACAGGTTGCTTACAAATAGCACTCCCACATTCTTAGTACAGGTGTCATTTTTATTAGAAACAGGTGTGATGAGTCAGGCCTAATGTACCTATAGTACACAGCCAGGTGTCCTTCTTCTATCTTGTGAATAGAGGAGTGCAACATGATGGCCATCACTCCTGTTATTGCTGCAAATACTGCCCCTACATGCGGCATCGTCATCCTTGCTAGCACTGACCTGCAGACAGAAAAGGAAAATACTGAAATATTTATACAACACTAAGCCCTCAGGGCACTGTCACGTCTGTGATCAGGTGGAAACTGTAACTATAAACAGCAATACACGCAGTAGGTGAACCATCAGTAATGCATGAGCTGTGCCATAAAACCTGCCTCTTTACATCCAGTAAGTTTATGGTCAACACACTATATGGCTTAGCTTTTCTGCTCCGTGCACCCCGTTTTTCACCCATTTTGTAATGAAAGTAAGAGTTTAAGTAAATCATTACACATTCGTTACACACACTCTCATAAATACGCCTTTTACATTCACCTGTGAGACGGTCAGCTATTAACACAGGTGCACCCAGGTCAAACATGGAAACCTTTATGCCTATGATAGCTGCCTTAACAGCAATCGATGCATATCATATAGCAACACTATTAGTGACAATTAACGACTTCGCTTAGTTAAAGTACACTTCACGTGTATTTAGTTTAAACATCTAACGGTGACAGGCACGATTAGCTGACAGAAAGACTTGAGAAGGGTAACAAGCAAGTGACTCCTCATTCAACTTATGAAGCAACATATGTGGTTCAAAGCTACAGGTCCTTTGATGTAGCTATAACATTAAAACAAATACATTCTGAAAAAGAAAACACAGGCTTACCCACCACTCGGTTGGTAACGTTGTAACGTTTACCCTAGCTGGCTGGGTTGGGTTAGCTAGCTAGCTAGCTGGCTAGCTGGCTGGCTGGCTAGCTCTCACTGGGTGGGATCGGAAGTGAAGCACTGTTTCAGTGTAGCTTAATGCTAATGTAAGCTTGCTAGGCTACTAGCGTGAAGCAAAGCTTTTAAATCGTCTTGCACTACGACCAAATAATGTTTCAGTAGGTACTGTAAACCACAGGCTTATAATATGTAAAATTACCGCTGTAGCAAACCGTGTCCCCTTCTGATCTTAGCATTCAACGTCCCACCCCCATTTCCCCGCCTCCCACAGGTTTCAATCTTGCTCTGACTCGCTGCATTATGCTGCCTTCAGGACAGTTGGAAATAAAAGAAGTGACATTGTAAATGGGTGGAATTTGTCAAACGATTTATTTTATTTAAAATCTTGATAAAACCCTTTTATTTATACAGATATATGAGACCCAAATGGCTTCGCAAGAAGATATCAGTATGGATATCAATGTTTTACAAAACCAATATTATAAAACAATCGCCAGTCTTTGACAGATGTCCAGAAAAACCAGTGGACTAAGGAAGTTCTTTTCACTTTATTTTTTTTGTATGAATACTATAAAAACATATTCAAATTTCTTCTTTTGATACTGGCTGGCTTTTGTTCTGCATTTGCTCTCTGTCAAGATAATCCCACACTGCTTCCATAATGTTAAAGATTGTGGGGTTGTCCCCTAAACCATGATATATCGTTTGTGGTCTTTTACAGATGGCTGGGAGCACTCACTGTTGTGCCTTTCTCTATATATTGACAACAATTTTAACCAAAAACTTGAAATTTCCATTTATCACTCCATAAAACCTTTAGCGCACCCTGTGGGTATTAAAGGTACTGCGCTGCAGTTGTGTAATAGAACCCAGTTTGTTCATGTACATGGAGAGTCCTCTTTGTACACTAAGGTACATTGTACTAATGTAGTTCGTTATTATCAGGATGTGTGAAAAATTCACTGAAAAGCCTTCAGATGATCAAGGACTAGAGAGAGCATTTTTATTCTATATTGGCTTATCTTCAATGGCTCACTGTTAAAAGCAGGATAAACTTAAAGTCTTTCTCACCAAGGTCGTGAATAATCAGTCCCTATCTTATCTTAATGGCCTTATAGTACTCTATCACCCCATTAGAGTTCTTTGCGCTTAGACTGCGGGCTTGCTTGTGGTTACCAGAGTCTTTAAAAGTAGAATTGGTGACAGAGTCTTCAGCTTTCAGGCCCTTCTTCTGTGGAACCACCACCTAGTTTGGATTCAGGAGACAGATACCCTCTCTACTTTTACACTTAGGCTTAAAACTTTCCTTTTTGATAAAGCATATAGTTAGGTCTGGATCAGGTGAATCCTCCCTTAGTTACACTGCAATAGACCTAGGCTGCTAGGGGCTCTCATGATGCACAGTGTTTCTTCTTCACACGCGCCTTTTCTCTTCCTGCGTGTTTATACGCCACTTTCCTTTTGAGTATTAGTTATAATTCATCTCTGTCTCTCACTGCATGCCTTTGTCCTACGTTTGTCCCCTCACCCCAAACTGGTTGCGACAAACAGCCAAGCTTTTTCATGTTAAAAGGGAGTTTTTCCTTCCCACTATTGCCAAAGCGCTAACTCACAGGCAATCATCTGATATTTACTGTTTTCTTCAAAATATTGCAAGGCCCAATTATTGTGTAATTTGGCATATCACAGGTTTTGTTCCTATTTCCCTTTACTGTCAGTACAAATACAGTATTGTAGACTATTGTCTGGTTTTGCATCATATTTTACATTAGTCTTTTCTGCATTCTTGCAGTTTGGAGTTCAGCAAATCCCAGGAGAATTTTAAACCTGCATGTTGTGTGTGCTCCACTGCGTGAATGTAAAAAAGTTTCACCCGTGCAGATAGAAACTAAACATACTGTAAGAAAGAAACTGTTTGAACAAATTCAAAACCTTGTACATGTACTATACGTTTCTAGAAATTTATTCACATTCAATCATGCACAGCAGCAGTTTTAACCTTTAGTCAGTATTGCCAGTAAAATAAATATCTTGTATCTACAGCTGGAAATATTTTTTAACATTCAAAAATATACTTCAAATTAAAATGTCTGTAGCTTACCACATTGTGCTGTTTCATACATTCTAGTCAACAGCATTACATAAATGTAAAGGACACTGTGCGGAATAACAAAGCTTTCACATAGTGTGACTCTGATAGAGCACTTTTTAAAGTGTGTGATATCTGGTGAGTTTCTAGAGCGTCTGAGGCTTCACTTTCATTGCTCCATACTGAGTCCAGCTCCAATCCTGATCCTGCAGAGAGAAGCAACATATTCGCTCAGTACTTTTGTGCCAGTCTCCAATATTTAGCTGTTAATTAGTGCTCTAAAAAAAAACAACTTGGTAATTTGCTGATATACATGAGCAGAACATAAAAACACATCTCTGCCATACCATAATACTGTGCTCCATCTCTTGGGTGGCGTCTTGCAGCAAAGACGTTAGCTGACTCAGATAACGTTGATTTTCATCAAGTAAATGATGAACTGTTTCACTGAAAGAAAAACACAGACTATAAGGAGGGTTGGGAGTCTTTTTTTCCCTACAAACTGAAATTTTAAAGACCAAAGAGTGACCTCTAGTGGCAGTTTTGTGCAAAAATTCATCTTCTAAACTACAGATAAAATCCTTACATTTGGGAGATAATCTCAAAACAGTGTGACAGATTATTGTAGCTGTTAACTTCAGTAGTATTTTTCAGATATTAAACTGATCTCACCTGTCAGTGGAAGGCTGTGTAAGTGACGGAGATGGAGAACTGCTCTGGGCCTGAAAACACAATCACACCCTGTATTAGCAACAGTCTCATTTGACTATATTCAAACCTTTATGTTCCCTAAACACTGCTCATCCCCAAGAATATTTTCTGCTGTGCCAACTATTAAATGCTTACACAGGCAATCTTGAGAAGGTACCAGAACTCTCTCTGTCTCGACACTTGCATCTGCATCACTACTGTTTCTGCAGTTGTTATGTTTTTTAACGCCTTCTCCAGTTTAGGGAACAAATCCATGATGCGCTGCTTACACACCAGAATTGTGCTACAGAGAAAGAGAAAGATGGGGAAAAAAATCACACGTGGCCCACAGGGAACTGTAAAATTGTGCCTTAGATGGGCTGAATTAGACATGTTTGTGTGTGTGTGTTAAATTTAAACTTGCCTCAGGTGGGTGTACATGTCTTTCAGCACTCTGTCCTGGTTCTGAACTGTCTGAAGAATGGTCTTTACCATGTCTGAACTGTCACTGTAGCCATGTGGAGGGTCAGAGGCTGCAGAAGACACACTTACACAATCATGTACATAAAATATTTGGATATACTACACAACTACCATACCTTCTGTTTTTTAATCTAAAAAAAATTTGAAAAATCTTTTGGGACCAAAATGATACATTTGATCAACAAGACCTTTTGCACAGTTTGTAACTTGTTTATTAGAAGCTTTATCAGAATTACCTGCACTCTAATTGGCAAAAAGCATGTGCCTATTTCTGCTATTTTATTTTTGGAATGACTTGTACTTACTTTTGCATTTAGCCTTAAGTTGCTTGTAGAGTTCAATAGCCTTTTGCTCACTAAACAAGTAGACAGAATAAACACATGATTACGGCAGTTATTTTTAAAGGATATGCTAACATTTCTCTCCAAATAATCATCCATCCATTCGCTTCCGCTTATCATTTTCAGGTGTTGGAGCCAATCCCAGCTGTCATAGGGCAGAGGCGGGGTACACCCTGGACAGGTCGCCAGTCTGTCGCAGGGCTAACACACAAGGACAGACAACCATTCACACTCACATTCACTCGCACATTCACACCTAGTGGCAATTTGGATTATCCAATTAACCTATCCCCACAAGCTGCATGTCTTTGGACGGTGGGAGGAAGCCGGAG